CAAAATCTGAAGGCTTCTGAGGGCGGTTGTCACCCAGATCACGAAATCTCCTTTTGCCATAATTTCTCTTCTTTTTGAGGAGCTATTAAGGAATGGTCAGTTACCTTGCATTACACCAGACTAATTCGAAAAAAAAAACTCAGAGGACACTCGTCACTCAGTATAACAAGCCGACCGACTTTGGGCTTTTTCTCGAGTTTCGGACATCGGCAACCAAATGTTTGCCATGTCGTGAAAGACACTCTGGAGGTCCATCGCAAGACGTAGGGCTCTTGCCGCATCGCTTCCACTGACGCGTTTTCTGGGTTTAGAATCAAGAGTAGCCAAATATGCTTTCAGTTAAAGGCAAAAGTCGGGCTCAATAAGGGGGTATTATGGCGATTGAAACTGAGTATAGAGATGCGAAGTGGAACGACAGTGGAGAAAAAACTGAGAAAAACCGTCGACAAGGCCGTTAACAAAACCCTCTTTCCCACTAGCAGTGAAGGAGGCTGGCTTGGGGAAAGAGGCACGTACAAACAAGTTTTCTGGAGATGTCAGTCGTTCTATCGGTTGATACGGCAATCAACCTAGCTGATTTCACACGTTATGCCAGCCACGCACCACTTCCGAGGTGGGCGGTCGTAGCGGGGCCAGGCGGCGATAGCGCATAGTACGTGCCCTGGAGGCCTTATTACGGCGCCGTTTGGGATTCTGAGCATGGTAACGTCTCTGTGGGTGCGTAGCCATGCACAAAGACGACGAAAGGGATTGGTTTGGTCCACTGAGCCTGACTCGTGCCTTTAAAGTCGATTTTCTCACCCATAATCGCTGCGAAAACTAACGGCAGAAATGCTCTGACGAGATCATTGACCATCATAGGTTTACGATGGATCTTCAACAATTATCCCTGGAGATTTCACAGCATATACATGAATGGCCAGACTCGTGGAACAACCTAGTATAAAAGCGTCCAAACAGCAACTTAACGAGGTCGCACCTTGACCCCCTTAGAAACGGGTACAAAAAATTCCAAAGCGCGAATGTGACGGTTGACCATGCGTATGTGTCCTCGTACCACCCCTCATACATGAAGAATATAAAGGAACTGTGTTGAACAACCCCTTGTCAGGAACTAGATCAAGCCAAAGGAACAACAGAAATGTTGATATATGTTTATTGAATGCCATGAACACGTTTCAAAAGAGCAATGAGTTCTTCGTGTGTAGCATAGAGAGGCTCTTTCGAATCAACAGATATCCACCTTGCATGCACAGCATCGTCGCCGGCCTAAAGCGGCATATTTGTGGATAATATGAAAGTGATTAGAAAACTGAGTTGTACCACGGCTGGGACGATATGGTGCCGTCACTGTTCACAGACAATTTGCTCTTATAATTCCAGCCAAACGTGGAGAACAAAAACGAACCTGCAATTCAATTTTATCCAAAAGAGCAGTGGAGTCGTGAAAATTGACACAGGTTGTCTCCATCCAAGCATTGTCAGTATTTCGTGGATCATCTACGTACCCTCTGGAAGAATATAAAACATGCACAAATCTCAAGGAGCAACGAGCACTACACACACACACAACAGCACACAGCTGACAAACAGCCCCTTACCTGTATAGCTCTCTTCCATTTGTCCATAATCGATCTAATTCAGACCGCACCTTACCGCCTAAAGCTTCTTCGGAGAATTCGCGTTTAAGCGTTTGAGAGACTTCTTCGCCAGCGTCCACCATGCCTCCCGGTAAGGCCCATTCCCCTGGAATACCGTGGTTGATTCGTTGACAAGATCCCTCATAAGCTGTCAATGAAAATGGAGATTATGCCGCACTCATCGACAGCGTGCGACTGACTTCACGCCAACCGCGCATTTCACTCGCAACAGTAATTTGCTGTTAAAATGTCTGTTATTTCTTATCTGTAGTACTTGTGACAGGTCGTCCCCGTGAAAGCGAACGAAAGGTGAGTGAAGCACACGCGTAAGTACAGCCCATATCTCGCCGTCTGAGTAGGCGTACCACCGGCGGTCGACGCAATTGATAGAAGTCGCGTGGATAAGCTGCCTCCACCACGCTCTGCTAATTTCCAGTGAAGTATTTTCGGAACAGCTCACCGTGCGACTTCTATCAAGTGCGGCGGCCTCCACTACTTCTGGCGACACGCCTACTCAGATGAAGAGATATAGACTGTAGATTTAAGACCCTTGTTTTTTAAACCTGAACCGCGAAATTGAAGCTGCTTGCAGATGTGGACCAGTTCACACACTTCATGCATTTCATTTGTTTAAACAATCAAGGAATGTACTGTGCTTTTCAAGCCGCGGGCGTATTTCTTAGGGAAGGGAGAACCGTCCGCGAAATCGTCTTATAGGAAGACTCCCCTGCCCGAAAGAAACATGCGTCCAGGAACATGACATGAACACAAAATGCTGCAAACAAGCACAATACCAATTGAGACTGGGACAAAAAAGAGTGCATCAGGTATAAAAGAACTCGGCTTAGAAGTGGTACCTGTATCCGATCTTTTTATTGCCACAAACTGCAATTTTCCGTCTTTGATTCTGGTGACCAAAGGATCAGCAGCGTGATTTGGTCCCCACCTTAAAAAGGCCACAAATGAAAATTGATGATCGCATGCCAGAAATGTCACAAAACCTAATGAGTGTAATTGAGCAATGACATATCAGAAAAACCTTTGGCTCCACTTAAGGCAATGTGTATGAATATTGGGGCTCTATCAGAGGTTGCCCTCCGTACATATGTACTAGATGGGGTCATAATCTCTCATGTAAATGTTGTGAAGGGATCTTGGCTTTACCTACACCAATGCCCTTGATTTCTCCATGCACATACGGAATCGTTGTAACTTAGCCCTTTTGCGCACGTTCCATATTTTCAAGGGACTTTCCTCGACGAATCAGTCCATCCTTCTTCGGGCTTATAAGACATATATCCGCCCCCTTGTTGAGGCCGGCGCTACTGTGTTTCACCCCATCAGGAGAAAGGACGCTGAAGCAATAGAAAAAGTGCAAAACAATTTCACACGCAAAATTCTACTCCGAAGTAGGAAGTTTGGCAGCTATGAGCTATTACAACCCAGAGGGGAGAGATTGGAATCAAAAATATTATCTTCGCTGAAGCTACGCGTAGGGGGGTTGATGAGGTCCTGCGTTTATCAATGATATGCCCGTTGCTTTTTTTGGCGCTGGCCGCGCCAATTGGCGCCAAGGGTGTTCTCACCAAATTTCGCTGTAAACTTGTGGATAGGGGTTATCGAGGCTCCTGATCACGAATATGACCTTAGTTTTGGCTCAATTTCTCTAGGTGACGCTCGAAATAGATGTCATCTAGGCGCTCATCCAGTAAGGGGGGCATCAAGTGGCTGCCCTCACCCCCCCTAGACTGCCTACACTCCCCCTGGCACACAGGTTTCTCGAAGTACGGGACCCCGTGAGCCAGGGGGAGTGAAGCCAGTTCAGGGGGGTGTGGGGGGTGAGGGCAGCCACTTGATGCCCCCCTTACTGGATGAGCGCCTAGATGACATCTATTTCGATAAGAAGGCGTCACTAAGAGAATGAGCCAAAGAAAACCAAGGTCCTATTGTATCAGGCTTCTGACCCCTACGATACCACTAGATCCTTGTACAGAGAATTTGGGTTAGACCGACTTGGCGCGAAATGGCGCCAATTTGGCGCCAGCGCCAAAAACTAAGGTCATATTCGTGGATCAGGAGCCTCGATAACCCCCTAGCGCACAGTTTTCAGCGAAAAAAATTTCTTTGATCAATCTCACCCTCTCTGGGGTTGTAATAGCTCAATATCGAAAGGTTTTCTGTATTCCAGGTCAAAGGTTGGCTATTCAAAGATAGATATGGTTGCCCTCTCTATCTCTTGATCACGGCGCAAAGCTGTGATATATGCGATGGATTATAACCGCTCTTCGTGTTAATCACTGTAATGAGTTTTGCCATCTGAATTTAGCACTTGCAGCGCATAAACAAGTAATTAAGAGTTTCCGGTCGCACGGTTTCAAAAGTGTTGTCAGCGTATTATACTATCTAAATCTCATTTCATAGTTCTGTAAAATAACCGGTTCTATTGTCTGGGTGCATAGGAGCTTTCATTATTCCTTTCGTTTTGATTATTTTGCCATATTAGCTTGGCTATTCGCGTATGTTCGTGAGTTTTTAGTTTTAATTTGGTTCTTTGGAATTTCTGGCTTTTATTGCGGTTTTGCTTTATGCAATGTATGATTAACTATACATAACTATAACTAAGTCACGACCTCCTATGGCAATGCTCGTCCCGAAGCCCCTGTTCGATCCCTCGGATTTATGCTTGAATCATGATAAAAGAATAGTCGCGTAAATTATATCGTTTCTTATGAACAATGGTTTCAAAGCTTGGAAGAGATAACTCGAATGTAGTCCTCCTTACGCATAAACTGACTTCCTGTTGTACTTTGCCATCGTATGCATTCCATGCTTAAAAGTAATCAGCTGTTTGTGAGATTCAGGCCGGCAGCTTTGCCTACCGCTGGTTGGATCAGTGTGAGGTCTGGGTGGGTCATTACTTCGGAATGGTAGCATTCGCCTCCTACCTGTCTGGGCACTTGTGATAACGATAAATATTTGGCTACGGATACGGGACGTTTGAATACTGACAAAGTACTGAAGTATCAGACTATTGAACGATAGTCCAAAAATTAAGTTGAGAACACACCCGTGACTGTACATTTTTTATGCACATTACGTGCACACAAGATGTTTCCAAATAGACATCAACCTTTGACTGGGAAGCGCAGCAAAATGCGGCGACAGATTCATTGCTCCATCTGAGAGTACGTATCTTTTGCACGGATTTACGACGACCGCTTGAAACGATGACAAACTAAACTTTTAAGGTGTTGTTTGGTTTATCTGGTTTCTCTCTTACTCATGTATATACCTCGTTGCTCCCTATAACTTCAGCAATTTTCCAAAATGTGTGTCCTGTTGCAGGCTGCTTTTCAGAGAATGGTTTTGGAGGCAAAAGAGAAGGAAAAACTTGACGATGTGGATCTGATTCTTGCCGCTGAAGATGGGCAGATTAAGCGCTCTCGTGATCCAAAAATGTGCCATCATAATGCGCGACAGAAGTGTGCTCATTGCCTTCCCATAGATGTAAGGCTTCTTGTATTTCAACGTCCTTAATCGTACAAGGTTATTTAATGATAGGTCCGTTCCGTAAGGGGGTGAATTACTCAGTGTTTGAGCTTATGCTGTGTAACAATCGACGGAGCAAAAGAGACAAACACGGAGACGAAGGAAGACTGTTATTTTTGTGTTTAAATCTGGATGAGGAGGGTCTCTGGGGTAGTAAAATTCCGTAAAGAAAGTCATAGCGACAAGGCCATCACTAACAGACAACTTCAACCAGAGAAGGGAAAAATGGAACTTGATATAAGAGGGCTCCTTCATAGTCAAACATCACCTTGAACCATTTTGACAAGATGGGGTACAGTTCTAAGCGAAAAGTCGTCTCTTTAGTAACGGTAGGGGTTGGTCTCCAGATGACATGGGGGTCACGGTCTTCATATGCCTAATACTAAGATACCTTTCATTCCTTCATATTCCTTGCAATAAGCGCAGAGTGGTAGTAGGTAGTAGGTGAGTCGCAGAAATTTAGAAATTGCCTCATAGTGGCGTTTGACCTTGCTTCAAGTCTACAAGGCCGATGTCAGACTTTGCGAATCGCGCGATTCGCTAGCGTCTGCGGTCGCGTCGCGGCCAGTGAATCACTCAATTGGCTGGTACCGCAACGCGACCGCGGACGCTAGCGAATCGCGCGATTCGCAAAGTCTGACATCGGCCTTAAACGATTCTGTGAACGATATTAGAGTATAATCACATTTAGCGTTTTGGCTTTTAGTTCGATTGTGGGACAGATATGGCCGGTGTCAGATTTTGCGAATCCAGCAATCGCTAGCGAATCGCTGGATACGAGCGTTGCGCCAGCGAATCGAGCTGTGTACCAGCGGATCGAACGATGTACCAGCGACTCGACACTGTTTGAAAGTGGCGAGATTCAATTTGAAATTTGGCTCTTGCTATTTTTCGTCACGGGGCATGAGAGCTCGAGAAAGTAGCGAGAGTCAACGTGCAAAGGAGAGAGTTCCGCCACTTTAAAGACAAGATTCGGAATTGAATTGATGCGATGATTCCACTAAA